ATACCTATAAACTACTACCTAAAAGTTCACACCTATCCTTGAAACATATTTGAGTGTATTGTTAATACCATTGATTATGGATATTATCCACTATCCACAATCAATGTTAATACTTATAAGCACACGTATTTGCGAACTAAGCCCGGGTTAACACAACCCGTAGTGTACATTTCACTCCGATGCAGGGCCGACGCGAAGGGTGGTCTGGGGAGGGTGTCTCACCTCCCCCAACGAAAGCGCCAGTCGATAGTTGGACTTGTTTCATTATACAGTAAATTACACCAACTGTCTAAGCGAACCCTGAATAAAACGGAAAACTCTCCAATACGGAATTTTTCTATGGTCCCGGCACGTTCCTATAGTTTTATATAGACGCTGAACCTCAATAAAACGGAACCTTCTTAACGCGGAAACAGAATGATTTTGTAAGTCCCATGCAAGTAAAAACTTTGCATAAACCGGAAAAATGACATTGTGTATACTATAAACCAAAAATAAGGTATAAAATATAGATATGCACATCGTTGGATATACATCGTTAAAATAGTGATAAAGAAGATAAAATTGTTCTATACATATTCGTACAATATATGTACATACAATGCAAATTATCGCATAAACGAAACAAACTTTCTTCTTTGTAACTGTGAAACAGTCATACACCAATAGTCGTACGTACACTTTTAATTTTATCTTCCATTCAGTGTATTAAATATTAAAATGCCAAAATATAAGTGTTTATGAAAAATATAAACTGATCAATATGAGTATAAAAAGATAATTGAATAATCCGGAATTTTTCCATTTTATTGAATTAAGCAGAAAACTGCTTAAAGCGGAATTTTTGTTGGTCCCATGCGATTCCGTTTTAGACAGTTTTCACTGTAACCTATAAAGACCTAATTTTACTCACGGAAAACAAATATTACATATTTCATAATACAGTGAATACATGAATAAAATTTATATAACTACTTATTATACAATATAAAATATTATTATTATTATTATATATATATATATATATATATATATAATTAAATTGTCAATTTTAAGAACATGCGACACTGACACATATATACATGTTAAAAAGTAAAAATACGACTAAATGTAGTTAATTATACTATATACATTGAATAAAAAAATTGTAGTCGGCATTTTTCATATTATTCACCCCACCTTGATTTTCATCTTCGGGACGACCCTGCTTCGATGCGTATGCTAGATGTGTCAGAGTTACCATCTTTCAACGTTTAAAATACGGGATACATATATTTTTTTGAGAATTATTTTTAGATATTTATTATATTCAGTTTTATTTTTTAGCATACCGATGAAATAAAATATTGTCAATTCACATAACTGCATACGAGTAACAAATCATTTATTAATTAATTTAATTGATTTGGCAAAAATGCTTGGTTGTAACTTGTAGAAAAAATGATTGGACCTATTGACTTAAAAAATTATGGTATCTGTGTTTTAAGAAATACTCAAATACGGAGCATGTTGCGTACCAGTGTTCATTAAGCCAATACGCCGGACAAATTTAATAAAAACAGGACTATCCCGTGAAATACGTGACGAGTGGCAACTATGGAGTCAAACGCAAAGCACATTGCTGATTGTAACTCGGTGACATTGATCCAGTCTAATACTTTGAAACTTTAAAAAAACTTTTACATTTCTTATCGTCAAAAATATTTATATTAATATAAGGATTTAGTTTCGAATTTTTTCATTTTGTTGTAAAATGAACATAAAAAAGTAGTGTAGGATTCTAATTTGTTAAAAATTTGAATACAACTTTTTTTCCATTCAGCTTTTCAAACACATATATTTTACTTATTTTGAACTATTTTAACTTTAAATTATTATCAAAGTAACTTTTATTAGAGATGGGTCGAACCGTACTGAACTTATAATTATTCAAACAAACCCGAACCGAACCAAACTTTTAAAATTTTTTATCGAACTAAAAATCAAACTCATGGTTTTTCCTTTTAAAAATAGATTGATATAATGAAAATATTACTTAAACAAAACGAAATACACCTAAAAATATATAATTAATTATAATAATTATTTATTAACATCCAATACTATTATTTCTAATGATATTTTTAAAAATATAGAGTACAAACAATATTTATATTTTTCCTTTTCTCTTTTCCAAAAATAAAATTGTGGTTTTGATCATATTATCACACATCACCTATAGATATATACAAAAATAATCACATGTTTCAACATGAGATTACTTTATTTTATCATACCTAATTGTAATAATATAAAAAAAATAATTAATACTACTATGATACTATAAACTATAAAGTATAAAAATTAATTTTAGATTGTTTGATTAAAAATATTTTCCTGTTCAAATTTCGAACATACTTAAATGGTAAATAGTTCGATTCGATTTTCTTTTATTTAGAGTTCGGAGTACGACTCATCACTTATTATTATACTTGTATACAGTAATGGTTGTGAAAAATTAAAATCAATTTTTTTTTTTAAATTTTCAACATTTTATGTAACATTATTGATAAATCATCTAAACTAAAAATCATATTATTATTGCATATGAGTATAGTACTATAAAATCTAAGCCATTTTAATATTATATTATAATACCATCATAAGATATTTTAATATTTGTTCTTTCTTTATAAAATAAGTAATTTATCGTCTAAGGATTTGAAATTTATATACATAATTGTTTTATTATATTATACTAAAATATCAGAATGATGTCCAATAGCTATTTTTTATGGACTTTTAAAATTTGAATTATGATAAAAACTTGAGAATTTAAGTTTCAGCGATTAAAAAAAAATTGTTATAACCAACTCAGTTTTTTCTTGGTATCTATATGTAAAGAGCTATACAAACGTTTATTTTGTTTAGAAAAAGAATAATTTTATCAGATTTTGCCGGTCCTAGAACTACAATCGGATAGAATTATGATATTTTCATACCGGAGGCATTGTATAAATATATTTAGTAAGCACAGTTCTTTTGACTCATTAAATTGAACATTTGTGAAAATTCTTTTTGGACATAAAATAGCTGTTGCTCTGGGCAATATTATGTGTGTTCTATTCTATTCTATTCTATTCTGTGTGTTCTAATTAGTTATATATTTTATTCCAAAATGCGCTGAAAAAACAAAATACAAAATGTTAACTGTTGTGGTTTTTTGCGGTGTACAAGAATGAAAAGTAAAATCTTACGAATTCTTACACTTTTCTCTGTATAAATTTGAAAATTACGTTTTGTCATTTTATAAAATAATATACCTAGCAAATCGCTTAAGCGTGTGTGAGCAACGTAATCACTCTTTTGTGTTAAAAAATTATAAGTTCACGTAAGCTATTTCATGCAACCTTAAAATGTTTACTTTGATATCCTTATGAAAAACGTACTGCTGTAGAAATAATTTTTTTTCTCGTAAATTCATTTCTACTCATCATTTTTTCGAATACATAATATTGACACGTGTACATTTGATTTAGGGGAATAGTAAACACTTTATCGTTTGTTAGTATTTAATATATCTTATTACCCGGCTAAAATGTATGTAATAATATATACATTAAACCAATATAAAATATTAGAAAGAAAAAATAAATAGAGGTATTTTTAAACCCAAATATTTATATCGAGTCTGTTATCAAAGACGGGCAGTGCATTTATTTCAAATATCATTTTTGGTGAATATGTGAAACCTGTTACCTACTGCAGCAATTGGTTCTACAGTACATGAACGATTTTCCTCCCAACGGTAAATATTCATAAAAATACACATAAATAAAACCGATTAATTATACTTACCATACTGAGGAAATCTTATCACGTACAACACATCCTATGAACATGTACATCAACTATTATTGAAAGCTACAAGTCATATTTTACACTTGATAACATAATAATCGATTTGGGATTCAGTCAGTAGCACATAACAGTCAACAGACCAATACGGAAATAAACAAAATATACAAACACAAATTTAAATGTAATAAATAATAAGTATTTGTATATATAATATATATATTTTCTTTTATTTTTTTTTTTGTCTTTACATTTTACAATATAAATCATTATGCTTAAAAGTACTGAATTACATCACTTTAGATTCATAAAATTATAATCCAGGAAAAATAAATAATAAACAAAATCAAATTAAAACCTAATCAGACTTTCTATGGGGTAGAGGAATAATTCATAACTTCATTATTATAACATTTAAGTTTTACAGTTTAAGTTAAATTATAAGTAAAACACAAATGCGTAAATAAGTGATTAGGTTTTATTTTTTGCACGTGTACCTGCAGGAACAGTTTATTAGTATTATAATTGTATGTCGGTTATTGACCGACAAGTACGAGTAAAAATTATCGACTTATTACATATAGTATATTATTTTTATTATTACGAGTATTTATACGATACTATATCATATTGTTTTCATTACGAAGCCTAGAGAATATTATACAATGTCACAACTAATATTTAATAATACATTGAGATGTAAAAACTCCATTATTCTCATAAGCATGCATTATTAATATATAATGTATATTTATTATTTAACTTAAAAAACTTAAAATTTAAGAGACTAGTAATGAAAACCAATCTTATTTCATTATCAATACGGTATTTTGATAACGTTCCATTTTATATGGATTAATCATTTTTATACGATAAAATATATTTAAAACATATAGGACATTTGACATTCAACCGAATAATAAATATTTAATTCTAATAATTTAGTAGTTAAAATAATTGACGTAGAACAAAAAAAAATTATAAGTTCAATCAAAAACACAGAAAAGTAACAAATAAATAGCTGACATTTAACAGAAAAATTAACGAAAAACAAATAATCAATAATGGTTTTCGAATAACGAACATAAATATTTTATGATTTGTTGTAAGAAGTTACCAGAATGATAATAAAAATAAATAAACAGGAAATAAATTGTATAATAACGAAAACATATTTTAATTTTTCAATCAGCACCTTAAACTTAAATTATGTATAATATAGTATTTTTAAATTAAGTTGGATGAATTCCAACGTTCGACAGTGGAAAGTTTAGGAAGCAGATCCTAAACCGTAAGACAGGAATACAGGTAAAATTGTCACCCAATATAATAAGGTGCAAAGGTCAAGGTTAATCGATCCCAACAACGACGGTCGCTATCTGGTCCGACATAGTCAGATGGTTGAATTTTTATCTCCTTACATTTAAACTTATTCTTATATGCCTAGGTATAATTTCAAACATTTTAATGAAAATTTACTTTCAATGAGAAATAAAAATTAAAAAAGGGATTTTTCAATTAAAAAATAATAATAACAATATTAATTAATATAAATAAATACTGTAGGTCTTATGTGTAGTCCAGTCAACTAAACCGCTAAAAAATTGCCGTTTAATGTATACCGGATGTGTCTGAAGTTGATGCGGTGGTCGTAGTAACTGGTGTTGTCCACTGCCACCGGCAGCCGTAACGCTTTTCTTGGCTGAAACAATATACAATCTATGGTCAAAGAGAAAAAATCATAAATAACATATACATAAACTCAGCCACAAATATACTTTACAAATGGTTAACACAGGATCAAAAGTGTACATGAAACATAAACCATATACGTGCAATGGTTTATAAATTTTTACCGCAGAAAATCAAAAAAATTAAAATATTCTATTTTATAGTTACTTTTTTTTTCATAGATTTGATATTGTAGTGACACAGGTATATCAAGAAGATACAGGTTATTTTGGATATAAATTGCTCAGTGTATTGTTTTATATAGTAATTTAATTTTCCTTTGGCGTAATAAACGATTACACTACCAAACAATGAATGTATTATAAAAAAAAATACTAAAAATAATATGGATGCATGTACATTATATTATAGGTATAAGGGTAGCTCTTATTTATAGATATAGAAAGAGTAATTTAAATTATTTACATCCAGCGCTTTCCCATTTTGTTCATCACTATAATATAAGGTTATTGTAATTTAATTTAATGGAGACAAATCAACCTCTATACAATTCGCATCAAGACTGAAAATTAAATTTCAGCCTTAAATAATACCAAATAGGGTAGTTTTGTTAAATTTTGATTTATATTTAAACACTATATAATTTATATAGAATTGTATAACACATTCATTGTAGAACATAAGCCAATTTATAAAAAGTATTCTATGTACATTTCTTTTAAATAATTACCGAGAAAATGAATAGAAAACTTAATTAGTGACGTAGCCTAAAGTTTTAGATGGAAGGGACTAAAGGATTTTTTTGAGCAAGTAGGTAAAAAATTCTTTGAAAGTCCACCCAGAGTAATCCCCCTTCCAGCATCAAATTTAAAAATGTATTTCCAGCATTTTAAAATAGTTTTAACAATATTTATTAAAATATAATTAATATTAATAATAAATTAACGTTGATCAACTGAAGTAGCATCGCCACGACATAACAAGTTATAAAAACTATATCGATTATATAATGTAAATGTTAGACGAAAGTGATGTTAGACAAACACCCGTTATTTATCAACATTTTGATAATACCGAAGTTTTAAAACATATAAATATCAAATAGTAATATACTACTATAACTACTAGTTTAGTGCATACACGTAAACATGAACCCTAAGGGAAAGCTATAGCACTATTAGCCACCCCCCCCTTGACTACTACGCCACTGTACTTAATAGATTGCTTGAATTGAGTTTGTGTGCTATATGCATATATTCGTAAATTTATATATATAAATGTATCTATCAATTAGTTAACAAATACCAAATAAACATAACAATAGACTAGAATTATTAATATTTAATCTTTTTTTTAAACTTTTTGGATTGAAGAGTTATATTTATTATAACACTTTATCACTGATGCTACATGGACCGGTTATCTACTGAAAGTTAAATAAATCAATACGAATAATATAGCGTATAAATATTTCCCCGTGTTACATGTAAAACTTCACGCCGTTGCAGAATTGAAATTATAACTATCACACTAGTATACCAATCAAGCTTTTCTAATAAATCTATTAATAGTTAAGTAAAAATATGAAATTCTTATTAACATTACATTATAAACATTATAGTACAAGTGTACATCGTACAAAATTTATATCCTATAATTGCTACACGATAATTATGCTTCTCATTGTTAAATTATTATTGGTTACTATCACTTAAATGTATATTTATCTCAAAGGTTTTCTTGCGATACGACTTAAAAAATAATGATGATTCATTTTCTTTTTCATTTTTAAATTTTGATTTTGATAATTTCCCATAAAAATAATATGATGACAAAATAATTAAATTATTGTGAAAATTTAATAAAGGTAATATATCATGATAAGAAAAACATACGGAATTAGCAGAGGAATTAGTTTAGCAAACAAATATAATTTAATTAGTTGAAATATTGATTCCTAAGTTTTATTATTGATTGTTTTAATAAGAAAAATATGTAAAAAATTATTAAAACTATAAAAATATTTCATATAAATATAAATTAATATATTATATTATAATTACATACGACACTTTTTTGATTTTAAATGCTATTAACTTATATATTTTGGAATATAGATTTTTATCCTAAGATTTTAAATATAATTCAGACAAGTATTACCATAACAAAAAATAATTTTAGTAAATAATCCGTTTGACGCAAGTAGGTATTAGTCATTTTTTATGTAATTTTTTTTTTTAAGTATAAGAATAAAAACTTAATGAACAACAAATATACTAACATTCAATATTTTTTCATTGAAATTTATTATTTATATTGTTTATTATCGAAAGTGTCATTAAAACCACTTGGCTTTACAGTACTCTACAGTAATATTTTTAACATAATTTACTAACTATGAGTTAAAATCCTAAGTCGTAAATTGTATGTTATAAAATGAAAATTTAATTCAATAAATAGCTAAATAATATATAGGAAAAAAATAAGGAACATTTAATTAATAAAAAATACAACATTAATTATAAAAATAAAAGTTAAATTACAACATGTTGATATTAATAGTTCAATCTAATTAAATCAACAATGTGTCAGTGCACTTACAAATATATTGGAACTGAGCGGTGTAGTTTTCAAAATTACTAATTTTTACTAAGAAGGCAGAGTGACTATCAGTATTCATAAGAATAGCTGTTATTTTTTAAAAAAAAAAAACCTTTTTTTTGTTATAAGTCATACTATTAGAAACTCGTCCCACAAATCTAATTTGACATTCCAAGGTAAAAAAGCGTAAGTAAAATATATACCCAGTTATTATTTATATCTGTTAAAATTTATTTTTACAAGGTCTCCACCAAGTTTATAATGAAATGTCTCAATATTTTAAAGCAAAAGTCGTACCATAATTTATTTTTTATTTTTACTAATGAAAAAAATATTTTTTACAAGCGATTTCGTTTCATTGTTCGCATTAAAAAATTAAATAATACAGTTGATTAACAGAAAATTTAACTATATATTAACTGAATTAGATAGCTATCAACCGTCAACAATTTTAACTTATTAGTAACAAAATAACAAATTGAATAATGATTATAGCTTAAGTAACCATTTAAAAACATTATACGCCATTCATAGTCGTACTACTATGTGTAATATATAGAATACATGATATATGTACGTATATATTAAACATTAATTTATAATGATGATATTTTTTACTCTACCAGTGTTATTTTAATAAGACAACTTATTAATAGAATTTATTTCGTAACTTTTAAATTTATTTTTAATTTTTCAACATGCGTAGTGTAGTCAGTAGGTAAGTGTAATCCTACCTATTACATGATGTAAAATACATGGGAATTCATCCAATTATGAAGCACACGGATTAAAATTTTTATAATTGATAAATTTAGTCATGTCAATATTTTAATTTCATGCAATCAAATAAAATAGTAAATCAATTTAACTTCATAAATCTAAATATTTTGACTAAAAAAATGGTAATACGTTACAAAATTAAGTGTATGAAGAAATAATAATTGATATCAATAGTATATTTTTCAAGATTATAATTGAATAATAATTTTGAATTTTTTAATTGTGATTATATAATTTATTAGAACTTTGAATAAAATATTAATATGGCTATACTCTAGATATCAAAAAAACTTATGAATTGAATGTTTCATATTTGCCAATGGTAAAACATCTTAAAATTGACTACAAATTTAGATTTTTATAATTTTAAAATAATGTTAAACTTAATATTTTTAAAACCTAGTTAAAAATGTAGTTAAATTTAATTGAAATGTATTTATTTAAAATCAATTATAACCACTTAACAATAAAAAAACTATTTATAAAATTAACTTTGTGTTTTAAATCCGCATAATCACTTTAATTTTATGAACATATAAAATTAATTAAAAAATAAATGGTTATAATTTTTCAATAAAATACACAGTCATAGAATTACATTTTAACTATTTATTCATTTTATTTTTAGATTGACTTCGATAGCATCAATAATAATTTCAAACTTAATAGATCATTTTATTTTTATTTAAAGTTTTTATTTGAACAAATATTATATAATGCTATTTAATACTGAAATCACATGTTTTTATTAAAAGAGACATTTCAGTCAGTAAAATAAAATGTTCTAAGTAAATTATAGGTATTCATTTGTTTCAACGAGTGTGATTATGTGTAATACAAATATTTTAAGTTTTTTTTAAAGAAAATCAGCAATTAACTAAACTAAAATAGTTTTACTCACTTTTATTTACATTTAAATAGAAACACAATTAATTCAACGTCTATTTTTAAGCTCATTAGCTATTTTAACACATGTGTAAAAAGTACAATAATTTTTCGAAATGTTTCTTAGAAATATTCTTAATGACATTACTAAATGATATGCCAATGTATTGAATTCCAATTAATGTATGAGTAATCATAATCAACGAAATAAAAAAAAACTTAATTTAAAAACACATAGAATTATGAATTTATTTTAAAATACGATACTTGTTACATGAACTGCAAAATTGAAGAAAGTATAATATATGTTTTGTAATATTTATAAACTATTATACTAAATATATTAAATTTTAATAAATTATATTACCATAACACATGGATTGTTATTTTATTAATATGCTAGTATAAAAAATGTGTAGTATAAATTTTTTTTTTGAAGAATAGTAAAATAAAAAAGCATTAATCGTTATATAAAGTTGATAACGATGCGTCGGTGACATCCCGTAGTTTAGGTAAGAATAACACATGGAATAGATAAGGAAAATATAAATGTTTGTTTAATAAAAGGGGACTTAAAAAGTGTTTTAATGATGGTGAATTTAAATTGCGTTTTAGGATTAGAAATGACATGAGAAAGTAAAATACAACTTAATAGATAACGTTATTTTCAGCTAAGACATAAAATCGTTCATAGAAAGAGAGATGAACATAAAACCTTTTTTCATTAAACTAATAATATATGTTTTAAATTGCCTGTGTAAAAAACAACTTCTTTTATTTATAACGTATTTTATTATCGTAGGTGTTCTAATAAAAGTTATCAAGTTAAATTTTCCACGTTTAACAAGAGCAAAAAAAACAAAACAACTGCCATTTCATGAACGTACTATTCAGATACTTTTTTTTTTAAGTCTATGTTATAACTTTATTGGATATCGTCAAAAAATACTAAATCAATGTACCAGTACAATATTAAACTAAATTGTAAACAAATATCGCTCTTAATACCTTTTTAATTAAATACTTTTTTAAAAACTTATTAATATTAAAAACGGTTAGACATTGCACTTTCGCACTTTCGGCAAGATACTGTTCACCATATTTATGTAAATAGGACTAAGAGATTAAAATATATTTTAAACACAATGATAGTATGCCTAGAAACTGGAGCAAGGGTCGGTAACTTTTTCACAAGAGTAATTTTTTTAAAGTTTTAAATGATGTACAAAAAAGCCACTAGTTTGAAGAATGTTTTTTTTTTTTAGTCATACATACGAATTTTATATTAAAAGGAAAAAAATCTTGATGTTGAAGCGAATCCTACAAACCTGCAGATTACTAAATAAAAAGCCGCAGGTTGTCGACCTCCTACTATAGAGGCTAGAACGGTCGCTTTAATCGTAAACATTTATATAATATTTTGAATCAATAATTAATCATATTATAATTGAAAAAAATGATTTTGGTGTAAAAGGTCGATGTAAAACTGTAAAATATATTTCATGAACATTTTATCTTACATAGTTACATATATACAAATGTATAATGTAACTAATTGTATTAGCTCATACTAAAATTACGATTTACAAGTTTTACAACAAATAATCATTTTATCTAAAATACGTAACAAAAATCAGTTAAAAGATTAAAACTAAAAATAATAGTCACTATTTATGAGAATAATTAGTTGTTCTATACATAGAACTTAAAAGTCTATAAAAATTACTTTCATTATTTTGATGATTAATAATGATTAATGTATATTTATTTTAATTTAATTTTTTCTTAAATATCAAAATAAGTTTTAAAAACAATAATATAGCATCATTGTAAAATTAATGTACAATGTGTTTTTAATTTATATTTATAATTACAAATTTTAATAAACACTGTTAACTCTAAATTACACAAATAGTATCTTGGAAAATTTTAAAAATAACAATAATTAAAAAGCAAATGAATACATTTTATAATATATACATAAACATGTATAAAATATTTACTAATTACATTTAATCTATATGTTTATACTTACGATAGGTATATGATGAAACAGTTTGCATTATAAACGCTTAAAAAATCAAAAAAAAAAAAAAAAAACAAGAAGTTCACAGATTTTAAATAGTTAAATTAAATTAAATTAAAACAGTGATATGTAATAGCATTTAAAAAAAGTTTAGTATACATTTGTGATAAAATATAAAATGTATCATCTGAATAAGGTACAATAAAAGTGTCATAAATACGAGTAAGTACTGATTCTGTACCGCATGTATAGAATATCCATTAATTTAAAAAAAATGTATAGTCAAAACATCAATTAAAAATAAAAAATGTTTGGAGGAATGTATTTATATAGTTGTTTTATATACAACTTAAATTAATGTAATAATATTAAATTTATATATTTATATTATAAAGTTGTCAATATATTTCACTAAAAAGTGTATTATATCATCAATGAAATTTTGTGTTCACAATTTATTTTAAATTCGTATACTCGTATATTTTCAGATTTAATTTTTCAAAATGTAGAAAAATTCACATTTTAATACTCACCGAATAGTGTTGAGACAAGCTAATAACAAAAAAATTCTTGAAGTTGTATTGATTAAAAGAATCAACAAGTTCACAATTGATTTCGTGAATTAAATATCAAAATTAAAATATGATTACAAGTCATAATTAAAATAATCATTAAGATTCTTATTTTACTGTTAATACTGTTATAACTGTTAATCAAAATAAATTTTTGATTTGCTGTTATTAATTTTATCAAGTCAGAAATCTATTTAAAATCCTATTTTAATGTAAGCAATAATACTATTTTTTTTTTTTTTTTTTGAAGAACACTCAAGTATATTCAAACTCTACCACACACTCGTATATCACTCTGTTATGATAAATTAATAAATTATGAATGGCTTTTCAATAATAAAAAAAATTAAAAATAATGTTACTAATTGTACACTTATTAACTTGCTTTAGGGGGCAGAGTGGTTTAGTAATCACACAATGTGGTCACGATGTACGCAGTCACCAGTTCGAACCCGGCTCAGTTCAAAAAATATTCTGCTAAGTTTTCTGTAGTCTCCCTTCCCTGCCGTCATTCTGGTTGCCTACTCTGTCTCCCACCGGACCCACTCCACTGGGAGTGAAGTCCACACACGTGTAAATTCTCTTCTTAGAGAAGGGGGTACAAGTGCCTCTTATTGCACTTTACCCCTCCCAAGCGAAAAATACATCGATAAAGCCCCAGATGGTGGTCGTTTTGATTCAAATTTGTAGAAAAAAAAAATTAACTTGCTGGTAATTAATTAAAAAGAATAAAAAAGAACATTTTAGTAAGAATATTATGGAATGAGGACATCAGTGCATCGACGACTTTAAAACAAAGGAATATATATATTAGGAAATGGTAAGCTCCGAATAGAGAAGAAAACTTACGATATTTAGATGATTATTAAGACGTTAGTGGAATAATATTTTGAATATTTTCATATTGACTTAAATGGTTGACACACGACAATCATTAAAGGCATATAATGAAAAGATCTTAAAGGATTTTTTAGAAAAACTTTGAACTCAATAAGTTAGATTTCACACAAAAGTTGGTTTAAAATCTTAAAAATATTTTACATAAAAATAAATTAATTTAATTAATGATTCGTAGAGTAATAACTATTTGTCAACTTTCATATTGAAGTTCTCGTTTATACCAACTCTAATATGTTGGTTAAGAGAGTCTTCTTTTTTTTTCATCACAAAATTATAACCATATAACAATAAAAATTATCATTAAATTTTGTAATAAATTTAAAATCTTCAAACATTAAACTGTTTATTATACAACCAAATTATTAACCGAAAAATTTTTCCAAATGTTGATTTTATACTAGGATTAGTATTTAAAACTTTTTTTCTTTAATATATGATTATGATTATGAAATTTAAAATAATTTTATAAAACGTATTATTCATTATAACTACAATATTTTATGTAGTTCGTGCACATGCGCACATTAAAAATTTCATAGTAGATGATGAAGGTAAATCTATGTAGGAGATAATGGAAAAAAATAACGATCTATCACAACCATTGACGTACTGTGACGTCATTGCTCTGTATGACAATTTAATATAATACTACCAAACACGTAGAGTACCATATTATGAAATAAAATTAGATACTTTATGAATTATTAAGCTTTAATTTTTAAATATTTACATTACTATTAATAATATAAAAACAATACACTCAAAATATTTAATTTTATGTCAGTATGATAAGTATTTCTAAAATCAAACCATTGTGCAGTCTACATATTTTTGATAGGTATCACATTATCTATTATTATGCCAATTCCATTAATTTATTTCTGACATTTTTAACTGAAGTTACACAAAAATAAAAATGTATTTCAACTTTTGATTTGTTTTGAATGTGAATAATTTTTACTATTGAATTTGATTTTTATTAAGCTATTTTTATAAATATAATAATCTACTATCTTGATTATTTGCATGAATTATATTGTACCTTAGTCCATTAACATTACATAACTCTCATTGATATTTTTTTTCTAACCTAATAAGTTTACATGGTGATATATTATAATTCTGAATTATATATTCCTGAAAATATATAAATTCATGGCAGTCATAATAAATTTAGAAATAATTTGTAATTAAAAATTATTTACAGGTAAAATGTTAAGTAATATTTATTCTTACCAAATAATTCGGGGCTAATGATAAATTTAATTTTCATAACAAATTACTAAATAATTAAAATAATTTTCTTATTCAAATTAAATAAAAGACTTCAGCGGCTTTAACTATATATTTTTCGCTGGAATGCATCTAAATCATTATTGGAATTCATCAAAAAAATTTAATTTATTTAAATAATAAATGTAAACTTAAGGCTACATTTTAATTTAAAAAGTGTTTGATGATAAAATCGTTTTTATAAACGCAGTCGTACTAGATAATACCGTTTTATTAGTTAAAAAAGTTGCATGAAACGGGACATTTTTTAGAATTACGGTTTATTACGACCTACACGTTTATTTCAATAAATCACATTTAATTCTAAACAATACAGTGTACAATTATGATCATATGTAATGCAATATAGTTACCTGCCGAATAACGGGTGCCACAGCGATGAACTGAGCAGGTCATGCGGATTACCTCCAGCCAGGTGTAGGGCACCATGAATGTTCAAAAGTCGCGGTTTAGTGTTCGGATCGATTAAATGTTGTTTGACTTTGATCTTGGGTTTATGCAACGGTTTATCCGCGGCTTCGGCGCCCGAACGAGCTTCCGGTCGCGGCGTCTGTGGCTTATCAGTTGAAATCGTCGAACATTGCAGTTGGTCTCCGCCAACATTGTCCGCACCGCCGCCAACATAGCCGACGCCTCCGCCGCCGCCGCCACCGCCACTGCTGCATTCCGCCGACGACAACGACTGCGGTTGCAATAAACCGGTTTGGTAGTTGTATTGACCGGGGTTGTGAGGCGAAGCGGGCAGTTTTGGCGGCATCGGTGGTGCTGATGACTGATCGTTGCACCCGTAGCCGACATCCGGGGAAAAACAACAAGCGGCGCCGGCCGGCGGGTACGCGTGACAAGACGTCTTCATAACGGGACCACCGCAACGGACCGGAGACACCACGAACGGGTTACAGCCGTTCGGGGACATCACAGTGTAGGAGTTGCAACCGCTACCCGCGACCTTCGAACAACAACTCTCGTAGCACGGAGACGGCAACCCGTTGCAGTAAGGCTCCGGACAAACTTGCTGTTTGGTCGGCTGAACCAGAAGCGGCGACGGCAATGGCGGCGGAGGCTGTTGCAGCAGCGACGTTTGCTGCTCCTGCGGCGTTTGTTGCAGCTGCGGTTGCACCGGTTGCAGTGGCCGGGGAGGCTGCTGGTGTCTTTGCAGCATCCGACGTGACGGCTGCTGTTGCAACGGGGGCAACGGGGGCAACGGCGATACGGACGCGCAATTGCAGTCATCCGTTTGGTTGTAGCCTGGCGTTGCGCCGTACGGCGGTGGTGCCAAATTACCGCCGTAGAACACGTCGTTCCATTGGTTCTTCTGTTGTGAATAACTGTACGGCTGCGAAGCCACCGCCTCCTCGTTCGGTAGCAGATAACTCAGCATGCTCGATATCAGCTCGTTGTCGACGCCGGACATATCCTTCGAAGATATGTACGACAATAACAGCATTTGTTCAATGCTTGACTGTTGACTGCTGTCCGCGGCTTTGCGTTCATCCAAGAAGCATGGTGTCTGTTGCAATATGGACCGAAGATGCGACAGCGAGACGGCGAAGAGATCGAGATCCGGTGGCGGTGGCAATAGCGTTGGCGTTTGTAACAGTTTGGGGATTTCTGTGGCCGGACTGGCCACCAAAGCGGCCAGTCTACCTCTGGGCACTAGCAGAGGATCGGGCACGGCCAGACTAGGATCGGCAAGCACCTCTTTGAGCTCTGCCAATGGGTCCCATTCGGGTTTCACTGGCTCATTGACTAATGCGGGTTGCGGTTGCTGTACAACTCGTTTCTTTTTAAGCGGCGGTTCCTGTAATCGTATTTCTAATGCGGATCGCTTACCTGTGGTTTCCAGATTCAATGGCTCGTTTTGCAGTTGTTCCTGTGTAATTATGGTCAACTCACCATACGTGCACTGAGCTGCGGAACTATTGACAGGAGTCGGCGGCGGTGATAACGGTGAGGTCGTGGTAATGGGCCTCTTATTCGTATCTTCAGTCTTGACCTGATGAATCGTCGTGCCTTCCGGTAATTTAATTTCACCCGTCTCGACCGCGGGTAAGGTAGTCTGTACACCTTCAATGAGCGTAGAATCTTGGTCGATCATTTCAAGTGCTCGTTCGATTCGAGCTCTCTGTTCTTTTTCGTCCTCCTCACTGCATGAATTGTCGGAAAAGTCGATCGAATTTTCATTCACATCCACTCCATGTTTTTTCTTCTTCTTCTTTTCGGGCTTTTCTTTTGGTTTTTCTTTTGGTTGTTTTTCCAACTCTTGTACCGACTCTTCGTCGGTATCTTTTTGCGATTCGTTTTCGTAATTACAAACGGTGGAACGTGATTGGGCCGCTGCCAATACTTTGGACCTGGGTTTCGACGTCCACACACCGCCGGTCTTCACCAGTCTAAGGCGGTTATGTGGATCATAATCTTCGCACACCACCTTCACGATTTCAGACTCCCTTTTTTGGGCCCATAGAAATATTGGACTCACCTGTTTGTTACGTTTCTTATGCTTCTTCCGTATATGAGACGGATCGTGATGGTGCTTGTGATGGTGTTTCTTGTGCTTTTTCTTGGATTTGCTGCGCCGCTGGCCGTTTTCTTCTTCCTCTCCGTCCTCTAATTTTCCGATACGGTTCTTTTCGCCCGACTCCACTTCATCGTTCTCGGATTCCGCGGACGAATAAATTACGATCACGCTTCCGTCGTAATCCGCGATCGCGCCGCGTTCGCCGACGTTCGCAACGTCAGCGTTTACATTGTCTTGGGAAACCGTTTTCTCCGGTATGGCTTTCATTTCTTCTCGGTCGTCGGTTCCATACCAATAAACAACACGTGACCGTCTCGGATGTATGCGGTCGAATCAAGCACATTCGAAAGCGCGCATTGTCGTCCGCCCGCGCAACAATCGGGAACGTAATGCACAACCGCAAACAATGATATCGATCTCGGGGGGAAACTGGACGTTATCACGACAACGAAAACGGTTGTTAGTAAAAAAATAAACGATAAGCGAACAAATTGATGAACAAGTGCGGTTGATACGACACTCGCACGGTCGACAATCAACGCACACACGTACGGAACAGCTGTACCGCGACTAACCGGTAGGAGTCACTAGCCGGCGGCGGCGGCGGCGGCGGCGCGCACGTAAAATTCCGTCGGTGTTTATCGGGTTCGGACGCGGTCGTCCGCGCTCGGTCGCCCGTTCTCCACTATTGGTCGGCCGAGATTTCGTGGTATAGGCGTAACCGCTATCGCAGACGATCCGAAAATATTACACCCGACCGCCGCCGCCGTCCCTTGCCCTAAATCGGAAAAATGATGAGAGTTTTCATCGCGGGCCGCTACGGCAATCGCAACTCTGCAGCACTGCCCCGCGACGCGTGTCATTATTATTACCGTATCGATTGGCGGCGGTTAATAGCGATTTCACACGATTTCCGGACACGGATTCCGTACGCCCGCCGATGACCGCGACACATAAAAATAATCGTAACAATAGTAATCATATTTGTTCAAAACATATAGTATTGCGTGGACGCCTGTCGCGTACGCGTCCGTGCACACTCTATCCGTTTGGTCTCAGGATTTTCAAGACGCGAAGCGAGGACGATTTTACAACGTCCTTATTTCCTCCCGGCTAGGGAATGGGCCGGGGGTCGCGCTGTACGGAGACGTACATAAACATTTTCTACGAGTATCTTACAGTGTATTTGTACATTTGACACTATTAACTTTATCGTTGTAAACATTTGTAATTAAAATAGATACACGAACTTGCGGAAAACCAATTAAACATTTACAACATATTTGTTCCCCGAATTTAGGTGCGTTTTATTTTCTGACGAACAAATAAAATAAATGTACTTCCGCGTAATTCCGTTTTTTCGAATTTTTCTTTGTTATATAATAAAATATACACACATCTCTTTTGATTATTGTAGCTTTGTCGAATTTCTACATTTTTCGACACGAGAGAACTTAAAAAGTTAATAAATACTTAGTGTTTTATAGCTTTTATTACCCATATTTATTGTTAATGATATCAAATATAACTATGTTTGAAAATTTCATGAAATATAAGAGATTGTGAAATATTTCAGTATTTTAAATTTATACACATTTATAATATTTATAATTTTTATGGAACAAAAAAAAATTTAATAAGAATGTAGTTTAGTTAATATACTTAGGATATACATTCGGACTATAACCGTCATAAAGACATCTTTAGTGTTTTTAGGACATTTACAACAGTCTAAAATGTGGTTTAGTGGACGAGTTGCATTTTTTACTGTAGTCCAATTGCAGTAATTACACAACTTTTTAATTATGGTTTTCTTATGTTTTTTTTCACTATACTCTTTACACACGTTATGTATTTTTGTATTATGTTTACCCATGTTCAATGTTATCCAAACGTATTCGACTTACGCATAAACGTTTGAACAGAAATAAGTACAGGGTAAAAATGATCATACTATATTAAATTTTTAAGTGTTGAACGAATATTTACATAATATAATAGTAATATTCGTATGAAAATAACTTGCATACAATTTTCTTGATATAAACTTTATAACTTTATATATCGATATTTGTACATACATATTTATATAATATAGTGTCTATTTTAATTAAATCAAATTGTGAGTGATTTTAAAACTTAAATCCCACAAATTGGTGACCTCGACGTGATGGCAGAGACAGACGCAACGATTGCTCGAGTGGCCGTCAAAATACCGGATTTCATTTCGTCAGATCCCGAACTTTGATTTGCTATGGTCGAAGGTAGTTTCGCCAGCGCGGGAGTCACAGCTGACAGCACGAAATTCGGGTATGTGGTTGGAGCATTACCGCCGAAATATGCAGTTAAAGTCAAAGACATAATTATGACGCCGCCCTCGGACAGTAAGTATGTTAAAATTAAAGATGAATTAATAAAACGTCTTAGTGCCTCCCAAGAGGAAAAATCACGTCAACTTCTGGAGCGCGTTGAGATTGGTGACCGTAAACCATCACAATTTTTACGCCACCTCCAAAACCTGGTTGACTCTTCCGTTCCGGAAACATTATTAAAGACACTTTGGATAGGCCGCTTACCAAAAAGTATAAAAGTGGCGTTAGTAATAGTTAAAGATAGTAAGCTTGAAGAACTCGCTGTCCATGCAGACAATGCATCTGGTTCTTTGGTACCTCAAATAGCAGAGACATCGAAAAGTGACACTCTTGAAGCCATGTTGAATCTTAAAATTTCTCAGCTTACCTTGAGTATAAATCAGGAAACTGCGACGTTGAGAAGTGAAGTGGCAGCGATCAATACTCGTCCCTTGCGTAATCCGGACTCAAGACCAAGTACTTACCGCTCAAGATCTCGATCTCGGAGCCGTACTCTCCATGGTGCAAATGGATTATGCTGGTATCATTGGCGTTATGGATCAAAATCGCAAACATGCAAGGAACCTTGTACCTATAATTCGGGAAACGTGACGGGTCATCACTGATGACGGCCAGTGAGACCAGTCCGTCCCCGCGCCGTCTATTCATTACTGATCGAACTTCTTAAACTCAATTTCTCATCGACACGGGTGCCGACCTATGTGCTGTTCCAGACCGACGAATAAAATCCGATTACGTCCTATCAGCAGCCAATGGCACGCCTATTAACACCTACGGTACTATCACGCTCAGCCTCAACTTCGGACTTCGTCGAGATTTCACTTGGAGATTTGTGATCGTGGAAGTATCCAAACCCATCATTGGTGTGGACTTCTTGAGTCATTACAATCTTTTGGTAGACGTGCGTAATCAATGTCTTTTAGATGGTGTTACATGACTCACCACTCATGGTCACGCTGCTGAATCCTCAATACTATACATAAAGATTGTCGTGGGAGAAACGAAATACGACTGTTTACTACGGAAATTTCCCGAGATCACTCGATCATATGGAGCGCCTAAAGACATTAGGCACAGCACCAAACACTATATTCAAACGACACCAGGACCCCCAGTAGCTTGTAAACCACGACGCTTAGCACCTGATAAGCTCAAGGCAGCAAAAAAGGAGTTTGAAGCTATGATCCAATTAGGCATTATTCGACCGTCCCAGGGACCTTGGGCATCACCATTACATTTGGTATCAAAGAACACAACGGACGCATGGCGTCCTTGTGGGGATTACTGTGCTATAAATGCTCGGACTATTCCAGATCGGTACCCGGTTCATCATATTCAGGACTTTGCACACTTTCTCCACGGTAAAACGATTTTTTCAACAATCGACCTAGTCCGAGCATATAATCAAACTACTGTAGCTGAAGAAGATATTCCTAAAACCGCAATCGTGACACTATTTGGACTTAACGAATTCGTCTTTATGTCTTTTGGGCTTCGAAATGCAGCAAAATCTTTTCAACGATTTATTGACGAAGTACTTTTTGGACTTGATTTCTGTTACAGCTACATTGACGACATATTGGTGGCATCTGTTTCTTGAGGAAGAGCACATCAAACATTTACAGATCATTTTTGAGCGTCTACGCGAATGCTCTCTGGTTATCAATCCAAAAAAATGCGTTTTTGGACAATCAGAAGTAAAGTTTTTAGGCTACATGATTTTTAGAGAAGGAACACGTCCTCTACCCGACAGAGTCACTGACATTTTGAGCTACAAGATGTCATCGTCCGTTAAGGGTCTACGACAGTTCTTGGGTATGATAAACTTCTATCGTCGTCTTATACCTGGAGCTTCAGACGCACAAGCACCACTAAGTGATTTTTGGCACCCAATTTAAAAGGTAAGTCACCTATTAACTGGACACCAGAGGCCATTTCGGCTTTTGAAAAATGCAAGGAGAAACTCGCCACAGCCACGCTTCTCGCACATCCATGCGACAACGCTCGACTGGCTATTGTAAGTGATGCTTCAAACACCGCGGTTGGCGCAACTCTCCAACAGTTCATTATTAATGAGTGGCAACCTCTTGGCTTCTTTTCCAAGAAACTCACAGCGACCGAGACGAAATACGGAGCCTACGATCGAGAACTTCTCGCGATCTACCTTGCTGTCAAGCATTTTCAGTATATGGTGGAAGGACGCGATTTGGTTACATTCACTGATCACAAACCCATCACTTTTGCATTTCAGTAGAAATAGGATAAATACACACCACGACAATTCAGACACCTAGACTTTATCTCACAATTCACCACGGATATTAGGTATGTTCCAGGTAAGCAGAATATCGTGGCTGATACCTTATCTCGCGTTGACGGCTTGTCAGAGACAATAGACTACACTTCATTAGCGATATCACAACAGGGAGACGATGAATTAAAAAAATACGAAAAAGAAAATACTGGACTACAACTCAAGCAAGTTCAATTACCAGGTACAAATGTCTTAGTGTTCTGTGACGTATCAACTTCAACCGCCAGGCCTTTTGTCACAAAGCCATTCCGACGTAAAGTTTTCAATAATATACATCGCCTTGCACATCCAGGTGTCAAGGCCACGACGAAGCTTGTTAAACAGCGATTCGTGTGGCCAGCAATTGACGCAGATTGCAGACATTGGGCGAGGGCATGTGTAGAATGTCAACGAGCCAAAATCACGCGCCATGTCACAGCACCTCTTGGTTCATTTTCTTTACCGTCTCAAAGATTTGAACGTGTTCATTTAGATCTAATCGTTATGCCTTATTCTGAAGGATTTCGCTATTGCCTCACGTGTATCGATAGATTTACTCGATGGCCTGAGGTAATTCCATTGGAAGATCAAGAAGCGGCAACCGTAGCACGAGCTTTCTATACGCATTGGATCGCAAGATTTGGTACCTCTCTTCGTATCACAACAAACCAGGGATGACAATTTGAGTCATGCCTTTTCAAGCAACTTAATAACTTGACTGGCACGAACCATCTTAGAACCACGGCCTATCATCCGTCAGCAAATAGCATGGTGGAACGAAGCCATCGGCAGCTTAAAGCCGCCATTAAATGTCATCAAAATAATCGATGGACAGAAACTCTTCCGACAGTCTTATTGGGCATCCGAGCAGCTTGGATAGCGACCTCTGCAAAATTAGTCTATAGAGAGCCACTTAGACTCCCTGGTGAATTTCTAACGTCAAAAGATAATGCTGCCAAGTTCGACGATGCAGCTGAGTTTATCAAAGATCTTCGACATCACATTCAGCAGATCCGACCTGTCAATGGTACACGACATGGCGAGAAGAAAAACTTTGTTTTCAAGGACCTTGCAACCACAGAGTACATATTCATTCGACATGACGGACCCAAAAATGGAATACAAATGCCCTAAGATGGTTCCTATAGAGTCATAAGTAGAAATAAAAAAACTTTTGCCATTGATATAAAGAAGAAAAAAGTTAGAGTAACTATTGATAGACTTAAACCGGCCTACATCATAGTAGACGACCATTCTAAGGAAGATATTTCGAGAGAAATTTAGACATCTACACCGAATACCATTACAAAGGAGGATCAAAGGACACGTTCTGGAAGAAGAGTTCGTTTTCCAGACCGTCTCCAAGTAGTTTATGCTTGACACCGTCACTGGTAGGGGAGTGATGTGGTGACGTAAACAACGCACCTCGAATCGTCCAAGTTGGTTACAATATTGTCAGTGGATAAGGGGAAATCCCATGTTCTAGAATATGCGATGATTATCTCGTTAAGGTAATTTCGAAAATGTTCTAGACAATCGACGCCGATATATATATACCGGCTGTTCAGACGCTCATTCAATCAGTCCGTGAATTACACTCCGCGACATATTCGGCAATTCCTCCGCAATTATAACGCGTATCGATATTTGTACATACATATTTATATAATATAGTGTTTATTTTAATTTAATTAAATTGTGAGTGATTTTTATTATTTAAATCCCACAACAACATACTCTGATACAATCTGACCTATTGTATTTCTTAAATAATTTTTTACAAATTTTAATTTAGAAAATGTACGTTCACATTCTACTTGTGTAATGGATAAAGTAAACATAAATTTATATGCAAAGTGGAGGCCACGATATGTATTTGCGTATAAATTATATTTCATCAACACTTCAAAAAAGCATGTAACACAACACTTGGCACTGGAACTATACACATAAACTTTAATGTCATCATCACTCTTGAGTCCTAGAACAAAACATAAAATAAATAAAACATAATTATTGATGATTATATATTTTAATATTTACGTAAAAATAAATATAGATTACCATTTTCTTAATCATTACCATCATCAGTAACTTGATTATTTAGTTCATCATACACACAAGCAATGGTTCTTTTCAACTCTTTCCATTTAGATGTAAACTCAACATATTAATTTCTAATATCATCAAAAGTTATGTCCGGAATAAAATTTCTGATTTTTTCATATACTTTTATTTAAGCATTTGTTTGAAGTGGTAAATCTGGTTGAAAACTGTTTGGGTAGAGACAAGAAAAATCGGCACATAGTTGTTCATGTTTTTCAAATCTTGATGAAATACTTTCAATAACTATATCAAATACTTGGTTGTAAACATTGATTTCAAATGCACGTGATGGATTTGTAATAGGATCATCTATTGATTCATAGTCAGTAAATTATCTTTTTTTTCCTTATTCTACTAAGAGGTAACTCATTTATAATTTCTAAAGTATTATTCTCCATTTTATCAAACTTTTTATTGCTATATTCAACAAAAGTATTAGCTGCTTCTTTTATACATTGAAACTGGCGAGCAAAGTCTTGCAAGTTATTCAAAGTTTGTTTCACCATTTGATAAGCCTTCAATTATATGAACTTCAATGTCCTTGTAAATATTTTGATAGAGGAGTGTTTTTTTTTTAAAAAAATTCGCAAGTACATCTGAGCAGTTAAAATAGTTTCATATTTTAATAAACCTTCTTTTAAATTTTTTGTCTTGAATCGAGCATCTGGAGTTATACCTAAATTGTTTTGAATTTCATCTAATGTAGTTATAAGATCTACATACAATCCATTTTCGGGTTCATTAAAATTTACAAAAACCTTTGTCAATGCGCCATCTTCGGACCACCATCTTGTTTCGCCGATTGTACATATTTTTTTTTTGTTGGAATTTTTGTTTATATGACTCAAGTATAAATACTACACATCCTAGCAAGATACCAAACAAATAAATAAATTGGACAATTTTGCTTGTAATATCACTAATAACTAAATTTAATACATGTGCATAACACCATACATTTATTTGTTCAACTGCTGCTTCGCTCATTTTTACGGTAAATCCATTATAAACTCATAGCATATTTGCAACTCCATCTGTTTTGTTTCCTATACAACTTTTTGGGTCTATGTTCATATCTTTGAGAACATTTAAGAGTAACTCAACAAAATCAGAGCCTTTATTTGAGCTACACCTTACCGTACCAACTTATCTTTCGAAGATAGATGTACCATTTACATATCATAATATTATTGAGCATTGATCTGTAACAGATATATCTTGTGTTGTATCGAGTTGTACAGAATATATTACAGCATCTTTTACTTTATTAGAAATTATAAATTTTATATTTTTAGCAATAATTTCAAGAATATTATTAATTATAGTTATTGATAAAATAGCAAATTGACCTCCTCCTTGTTGGGCTACAGTATTATAACATTTTAAACTTTTTTTTACAATTTTATCTAAATATAATTTAAGCAAGGAATCATATTTTTTAAAAAGTAAAGTTATTTCCAAAAAAATCCATGTATTGAAAAATGAAGCTTTTTCTTAACACAATAAATTATCCATTAACGATGACCTCCATTCCTACAGTTATACAATTTTTAAGGTCTGAATGGAATGTTTGTTTTTGGTTGATAAGGATGAAATGACCAAAAGCTTGTAACATTAATACTTTTAGGTTTTATAAACATATCAGTAACCTCTATTAACATACTATTAACATTATTTCAAAATTGAATACAATACGATTAATGCATCAATTTACATTCTAGTTTAGTATGATTTAACAAATTGTCTGATATATTATCATCTAAAAAATACGTAATATATTTGTAATATAAATATATTATAACATCCATTATCAATTAAGTAGGTACATCTAAATATACAAGTGTTTAAGTTAGGGTTTTATACTTTAAATAATGTTAAAAATTATAAATATAATAAACACATTCAGAACACAATTTGTGTCAATATATAATAATAAGGTAGTTTCCGGGGACATTTTTAATATGACAATTAATGTAGATTTTTATGAAAAACTTTCTAAGAAGTTCATTCACTAATTTTTAAATTATAACCCTCGTCAACCCAATGATATTGATTTTAATACCGTTAAATTATATTTTACAAGTAAGAAAATGGGCGATATTAGAAAATGGATAAGTTATAGTCTTAATTGAAAATCATTTTCTTATAGTGGTGGAACTAAGCATTTTTACAGAATTAAAGAACATGAAATGAGCAAAACC